CGGGTGCTATTGAATCTCAATTGTTTGATTGTGTTAAGAAATGATCTGTCTTTCTTTCTCTTTCTCTTTGTTCTATTTCTGTTCTATTTGAATTCAATAGTAGCTTGTACAATTGTATTGTTTCACTGATTTATGTCATGTTTTTATTCAAATTATTTTTTAGTGTACATTTGACGCTCGCTGATGATGGTGTTTCAGTAGAACACCGAAATGCATTCGATATAAATAAAAGTTTCTGAATTGTAAATTTGGTTGTTTTATTACGATTTTTGCGGTCAATAAGGTCAATTTAAAAAATTAAAATAAGAATAAGACCACAAACAGACTTTAAATTTTTAGTGATTAAATTTTACTAATAACTATCATAAACATTCGGAGAGTTTGGAGAAATTTCAACGAAAATTAAGGGTACCTTCCACACAAAATATTCGTTTTTAAGCCAAAAACTAAAAATTAGTATAGGAGGTACCCCCAATTTTTATTGAAATTTCTTCAAACTTTCAGAATGTTGTTTTTTTGTGTAAAAAATAATCTGTGCAAAGTTTCACGTCATTAGGGTAGCATACAGGCATGGCTCCCATACAAAATTGCTTTTTTGTAATTTTTTTAAGGAAACTGTATCAAAAATTGATTGTATCTTAAAACTAACCTCGGATTCGGTTTTCTCGAGCCAAAAAACCCTCAATACATATTTTTGAGTGTTTAAGTCTACATTAAGTATGACTTTTGGACGAAAATTGGACTCTTTTTCATAGGTATCACTCCAGGCATGAATTTTTTTCCATCAACCAAAGTCGCTCAAAATCTAATGATTTCTGTTCCTCGCGACCCCCAATCATCCTGTAAAGTCAGATTTTAAATAACTTTTTTGGGAGGAGAGTTATTGTGTTAACAAATTTTGCGTACGGCGGACAATGTACAACGTACAACGTGGAACAGACCCACAACAACCATGCTCAAAACAGCTTGATTCGGGTTCTCTCAGGGGAGCGACGTGAAACGTACGATTAAAAACTTGACATCAGAGCCAGTCCCTCTTAACTAAAAATGGTACAAATTCTCAATAGATGGCACTTATAAATGGACAAACCCACTTACATTTTATCAGAAGAAAAATGAAAAATATTGAAATATTTTCAAAATATTTAATTTAATGATTTTAATTTAAATAAATTTAAATGGAGTGCCTTCTAGTGCTTCTCTGATTATAATGGTTTTAAAGTACTATAGAAAATTTGATATTTGTTGTTTCAAAATGTTAAATTTTTTTGTATTGGTTTATTTTCAAAATGCACAGAAGTTTTCAAGAAGAAATAAATTATATTTATAATTTTATAAAATATTCTAAAGGACTCAATCTATTTTATCATATATGATATTTCATTATATGACTATAGTGCACATCATGTATATCGTATAGTGTACACTACACACGACACTGTTGTGTATTATGCGCAGTATACATACGTCCTCAGCAGGGGTCCGAGGGGTCCGATTACCCCCCCCTGACGAAGTGTTACCCCTTCAAAATTTTCAAAGAATTCTTTCAATTTGCTAGGGAATTTCGCCAAAAAAGTGAGGAACTTTTTTTTTTTTTTTTTTTTTTTTGCTCCTCACTTTTGTTTTCAACGTAGGAAAAATTCTTTCAATTTGCTAGGGATTTTCCCCCAAAAAGTGAGGAGCAAAAAAAAAAAAAAAAAAAACGAAAAAGGTACACTTTTCGCAAAATACACTTCACTTTTTTGCTTACCCCTCTCGATTTTTTTCAATTACCCCCCCCTTAAATTTTTTCCTTGAGGACGTATGGCAGTATAGCTTGCCAGACAACATAAGACATGTGCATAAAGGCACACTGAGATATCATATATGATAAAATAAATTGAGTGCATAAAATATTTTATAAAATTATAAATCTAAACAAATTTCTTCCCAAAAAATTCTGTGCATTTTGACAAACAACCAATACAACATTTTCGACATATCGAAATAACAAATATCACATTTGATATTTTCTATAATTCATTAAAAACCATTGAAAACAAAAGAAGCACTAGAATCACATCTTTTAACTTGAATTAAATTGAAACCCTTAAATTAACTAATTTAAAAATATTTCAATATTTTTCATTTTTCTTCTAATAAAATGTAAGCGTGTTTATAAGTCGATTTATAAGCGCCATCTATTGCGAATTTGTAACATTTTTAGTTATGAGGGACTGGCGCTGATATCAAGTTTTTTCACGTCGCTCCCATGGGTTCTCTGACCTCAGAAACGTCCAGAAAACATGTTTTTGAGGTGTCGTAAATTTTGACCCATTGCAATACTTTCCCCTTACACATTAGGTGTGTGCGGAAAAGTAAAGGAAATGAACAAGTGAGAAGAAAACAGAGTTACAATGTACTCACAGAAAAAGTGGAGGCGGTTTTTCCGCAAATTATTGTAGCAACAGCAGAGCTGCAATAAAAATGTGTTTCTTGTAGCTTATTTTGACAGCTACGTACAAGTGTGTGTGTTTTGACATTTTACATTATTTGTAGCATCTGTATAAACTAAAAAACCAATGTGATTTTAATAAAACATGTGCAAGTGTAGACAAGTGTGCGATAGCGATTATAACACACCATCTACATTTGATGTTTGGGAACATCACTGACGTTGATGTCTGAAAACTAAACTCGGATTCTGGAATCAAATTCTTCAAATCCTAAGATTATATACATGCATCTCTGAAATTAAGATTTAAAAATGTCAAAGCGACATCACTATTAATTTAAAAAAAGTAATGAATATCAAATTTTTTTCGTATATTTACAAGTTAAAAAATCCTGCCAGAGCAATTGTGTCGAATTTGGTTGAACATTTCGGTGGAAAATAATTCTTCTCACTTTTTTCATCTCTGAAATCACGAATTTAAATTGTCAAAATGACATTTCTAAAATTATTTAAAAAATAAATATTAAAATGTTTTATTAACATCACATTGGTTTTTAGTTTATACAGATGCTACAAATAATGTAAAATGTCAAAACACACACACTTGTACGTAGCTGTCAAAATAAGCTACAAGAAACACATTTTTATTGCAGCTCTGCTGTTGCTACAATAATTTGCGGAAAAACCGCCTCCACTTTTTCTGTGAGTATATATGATAAAACTTTGTAATGCAAAAGCGTACACACAGTACATCGACAATTAAAAGTGATAATAGTAGATCAGACGTGAGGAACAAAATATACGCAAATTACTCACCTCCCACAAGTGTTCACTTGTTCATATGAATGGATCAAATGAAAGTTCAAAACAAGAGCAATAAAAAATTTGAAGAAAAAAAATACAGAATAATATCACAACACTATGTTCATTATCAGATTCACACACACAAATACACACACACACATATATTCCCCCATGCTGAAATGAGCATTTTTTGACTTTTCCACACCGATTGATACAGCTTTTCAGTTTGGTACATTGTTTTTAGTCTCTAGATTGCGTTGTAAAGAATCGGATGTGAATCAATGTGTTTTACGCGCAAGTATTCAGCGCAGCCCACCGATCATTATTGTAGTCATTGGGTGATTGATTGCGTGATCAAACATATTGATCGTAATTGGATTGTTTCAAAATTTTGATAAATAGAATCAGGCCACGTTCGTACGTGAACTAAATTCCGAAATCGATAAGCATTGAAAAAACTCTACGCAATTTAAAATAAAATATAAAAAGTACAGTATCATATATGTATAGTAGGTAATGATTGGCAATGGTTGTATGCGTACAAGAGACTTAAAATTTTGCTGCGTAAAATATTTCTTTCTCTTGTTATTCTGCAAATAAATCTTGAGAGTGAATTAATAAATAGCGATACACAGACAATTTAATTTCGATGAAAAACTTAAACATGTTAACAAAATCGTTTAGTTGCAATGAAATCTGGACAAAACAGGGTCTGCCACCAGATACGTGTACATCTCAGTCGCCCAACCGCACTGAATCACCATTGTCTACATCAAAGCGCCATAAATCCATTGATAAATTATCCAACACGAAATACGAAAATCATAAGACTGTTATCTATTTTGGCGATTCAATACCCAGTAAAAAACAGCACAATGAACTACAACAACAAATGAAGTCGCACCAAATGTCTATAAATCGTGTGAATAGTAACGAATCAATTGGCCAGTCATCAGATTTAAAGCATGCCCAACGCTTATGTGATGAAATGGTCTTCAAGCGACAACAATCAGATCGAATACAATCGAAAAACAACGAAGTACTTTCGAAGTGTGCGATCGATGATGTAGTGACTGATGTAAACGATGTGAAAGTGATCAAAAATGAATCAATGAATATAGTTAAACATTTTAAAACGGTTCTGGTAGAAAAATGTCATATGAAAAAGGAGAAAATGATTTCAAAACAAATGAAAGAAGTTGAAAATGACAAAAATTCGGAAGATTTATCTGTTGTGCATGATTTATCTGGTAGTGACAATGATGCAAATAGTGCCAAAGTAGAAGTTGGAAAGAAATTACCATCTTTTGTTGAAAGTGTTGTGAACGGTGTAATCAATATAAAAATTGATGACAGTTATGATGCAGCAACAAGATTAGTGAGATCGATTAAAAGCCCTGACACTGAACATATGAACAATTTCGATGCGTTAGAAGAAGGAAATGACTTATTTTTAGATGTTGGTGGTGAAGTCAATAATATGTACCTTGATTGGAGTTTTGTACAAGATTGGAGATCACGGTAAACTTTTGCCATTTCTATGTAGTTCAAGAAATTCATGAAGTAATAAATTGAATTTGTGTGTGGCTTTATCTGTATTGTGTGTTTTTCATTATTTAAAATAAACTGGCCCCCAAAAAAGACAAATTAGAAATATATCGCTCTCACTTCTGGATACTTTTTCATATTATGAGTAGATATTTCCCATATTATGTGTGGACGTTTGTTTCAAGATCTTTTTATATTCATTTTAAATTACTTGAATATGAATAAGTAGAGCCATGAAAAGCGTAGTTTTGACGTCAGTATTGTCAATGCAGCTACGCGCCCTCCACAATGTTTAAATTTTTGTTCAACCGTGCTTCTGTTTTATACTCTGGGGAAACGCAGATGGGAAAACACAAAGAAATCAGCGCAAAATTCCATATTTTGAACATGTTAAAATGCGGGATGTATATTCAAAATGCCGGCGAGGTCGAATTTTTTTTTTTCAATTTTTTCTGCATGATTTGCACTAAACTATATGACTACTTGTGCAGAATGTGTGTTTTTCAAATGAACCGTCGCACATTTTCATGCATAAAAAACACATTAATCGTTGTGTTTATCGCTTCAAACTTAAATATATCACTTGAGCCAATTGGCTCTTTCAATGTACAAAATCGATTAAATGGTGAAAAAATAATACAAATTATCTCAAATATGAAAGTGAGAGATGAATTTTGTTTGTGTTTTTTACATCGCAATGCTAATTTTTTTCTAGAAAAAAAAAATAACAAAAATTGAATCAATATCAAACCAAATTAAGTTTTAAATCTTTCATTGGATATAAATTTATTTAAAATCTGACTCTACAGGATGATTGGGGGTCGCGAGGAACAGAAATCATTAGATTTTGAGCGACTTTGGTTGATGGAAAAAAATTCATGCCTGGAGTGATACCTATGAAAAAGAGTCCAATTTTCGTCCAAAAGTCATACTTAATGTAGACTTAAACATTCAAAAATATGTATTAAGGGTTTTTTGGCACGAGGGCACAACTACACTTTACGACATCCTTTTTAAATCGATTTTTTTGAGAAATAAATGAGCTACTTTAAAAAATTTCTCTCGTCATTCTGGACAACTTTGCCATACATCACTTTTTGATCCAATGAGGTTTTGGACAAGTTGGGTACTTCCCCCCACTAATACCCAAGGGGGGCAACCCCCTTTTCACTAAATTATTTCCCCACTCCCAATATATCGTTCCCCATCATTTTCATAATTTGACAAAATACCATTTATAAAAAAAATCGATTTAAAGAGGATGTCGTAAAGTGTAGTTTAGCCGACACGAGAAAACCGAATCCGAGGTTAGTTTTGAGATACAATCAATTTTTGATACAGTTTCCTTGAAAAAAGCACAAAAAAAATTGAATTTTTGTATGGGAGCCATGTCTGTATGCTACCTTAATAACGTGAAACTTTGCACAGACTATTTTTTACACAAAAAAAAAACATTCTGAAAGTTTGAAGAGATTTCAATCAAAATTAGGGGTACCTCCCATACAAAAATTGAAATGTCTCCAAACCCTCTGAATGTTATTTTTTTGTGAAAAAAAAAATAACCTGTGCAAAGTTTCACGCCATTAAGGTAGCATACAGACTTGGCTGCCATACAAAAATCCAACATTTTTGTGACTTTTGTATGAAAAGTGTTTCAAAAATAATTTTTATGGCAAAATTAACGTCAAACATATTTTTTTATACTTTCAAATGTCGTACAAATGGGTTCATCATGAAAGTGTGAAAAATCTCTTCTCGAGTACTTCTGCTATTAAATTAAAGAATATTTCGATGCCAAGGTTTGAACATATTTTTTGATCTCGAACTTTATGCCACTTGAAAAATCAAACAAATATTATTTTGAACTTGCTTAATAAAATACGCAACTACCACCATGTGGAAAGGTTCGTCTTACTCCAGTAAGACTCTTTATTTCACACTCACATCATTTTACATCGTCCATAGCAACATTCTATGGTCAATTGGTCAGTGTGGTAAATATAATCTACAATTTTGGCTGATAATTTGGCCACGGTCGCTTATCTGTACTACAATTTTGATATTTTTGACGATTCGCGGCCCAACGATAAGAGATAGGATATCGATGCGCGCCGCCAGAGTTGTAGTTTTTGACATGACAGATAATTTGGCCACGGTCGTCTATCAGTGCTATAATTTTGATATTTTTTACGATATGCGGCCCAACGCCAGATATATTTTTTATAGCGTTTTGTTAGAAAATAGAATACAAATGTCATACAAATGGCTTCATCATGAAAGTGTGAAAAATCTTTTCTCGAGTACTTCTGCTATTAAATTAAAGAATATTTCGATGCCAAGGTTTGAACATATTTTTCGGTCTCGTACGCCGATTGAAGGGCTTGAAAAATCGAACAAATATTATTTTGAACTAGCTAATAAAATACGCATCTACCACCGTGCGGAAAAGTTCTTCTTACTTCCGTAGGACTCTTTATTCATTTTTCTGCGGATCTTCTTCAAAACATCACACAAGAGAAAACCCCAACAAATTATTTTAGGATTTCCATTAAAAAAATTAATTTGTAAGGTTTCCTTGAAAAATCGCAATATTTTAACAGGAATCCTTATAAATTGGCGCTCAAAGGTCAAAGTCAACTTCACTGTGTTGAAACATAACATTTTTATTATTTCCTGATAAAATGTTCCCATATTATAAGGAAACCTTACAAATTAATATTTTAATAGCCTATTAATAATAGGAATCCCGAAATAATTTGCCAGGTATATTTCTTGTGTGAATGAGGAAGAATTTCTACATAGTTATGCGATCTATTACCGAAAAGTTTGAAACCTCATGCTTTTGCATAATTTTTGAACTTACGCGCACAAAATATTGTATTTGTCCATATGATTTTTATACAAAATATCGTTTTTGTGTATTCTCTTTTGTGCGGATCTTCTTCAAATCATAAATGAAGATGAACCGCTCAAAAGAGAATATACAAAAACGATATTTTATATGAAAATTACATAGACAAATACAATATTTTATGTGAATATTGTATGCGAAAGTTCAAAAACTATAC